AACAGGAGTTGAATGAAGGGTTTCTCTCAGTGATGTCAGTAACAGGAGCTGAATGAAGGGCTTCTCTCAGTGATGTCAGTAACAGGAGCTGAATGAATGGCTTCTCTCAGTGATGTCAGTAACAGGAGCTGAATGAAGGGTTTCTCTCAGTGATGTCAGTAACAGGAGCTGAATGAAGGGTTTCTCTCAGCGATGTCAGTAACAGGAGCTGAATGAATGGCTTCTCTCAGTGATGTCAGTAACAGGAGCTGAATAAAGGGCTTCTCTCAGTGATGTCAGTAACAGGAGCTGAATGAAGGGTTTTTCTTAGTGATGTCAGTAACACGAGCTGAATGAAGGGTTTCTCTCAGCGATGTCAGTAACAGGAGCTGAATGAAGGGTTTTTCTTAGTGATGTCAGTAACAGGAGCTGAATGAAGGGTTTTTCTTAGTGATGTCAGTAACAGGAGCTGAATGAAGGGTTTTTCTTAGTGATGTCAGTAACAGGAGCTGAATGAAGGGTTTCTCTCAGCGATGTCAGTAACAGGAGCTGAATGAAGGGTTTTTCTTAGTGATGTCAGTAACAGGAGTTAATGAAGGGTTCTCTCAGTGATGTCAGTAACAGGAGCTGAATGAAGGGTTTCTCTCAGCGATGTCAGTAACAGGAGCTGAATGAAGGTTTTCTTAGTGATGTCAGTAACAGGAGCTGAATGAAGGGTTTTTCTTAGTGATGTCAGTAAAGGAGCTGAATGAAGGTTTTTTCTTAGTGACGTCAGTAACAGGAGCTGAATGAAGGGTTTCTCTCAGCGATGTCAGTAACAGGAGCTGAATGAAGGGTTTTTCTTAGTGATGTCAGTAACAGGAGTTGAATGAAGGGTTTCTCTCAGTGATGTCAGTAACAGGAGCTGAATGAAGGGTTTCTCTCAGCGATGTCAGTAACAGGAGCTGAATGAAGGGTTTTTCTTAGTGATGTCAGTAACAGGAGCTGAATGAAGGGTTTTTCTTAGTGATGTCAGTAACACGTAGCCTGGCTGCGCCCGCCTACGCACTTCCGCTCAATTTCATTTTCCTTCAGTACTGCGTCTGGGACCGCTCCATATCCTTAGGTTTCCAGAAATCAATTTTTTGTAGGATCAATCAGCGAATAGAGGGAGTGGCTGAGAACGATGACGTTGATGTAGTGCGTCAGTTTGAGTGCAGTAATGGCAGCGGAGTAAGACTTGAGAAAAGCTATTCGGTCCGTTGTTGGAAAAGAAACTGCCGAATATACATAATTTAAAGCCGGATTGTTGTCGTCTCACCTCTTGTTGCACAACGGAGGACCAAGTGAAGGAGGCAGAAAGGTTGGAAGTTTGTGCTGGGCAGCTCGTGCACAATGACCGTGACATTTTGGACTTTAGCCTGGTGTTCGCGCCGCGGTGTTCGGAAGCCCCGAGTCCTGGCTGCTAAACTATTGTTGAAGATCCGCTCAGGAGTCATGTCAGTCGCTCATATTCCCAACAGTAAATTTACTGATTCTTGTGATGAATAGAACATTTTGAGCCCCTTTGTGCACTCGTACAGGAGGTTGGTGTGTCAGTTTTACATGTAGTAAATCATACAAATTGGTTGTGATTTAAAAAAAAAATTGTCATAAATAAAAATTTGAAAACCCATACTTTGGAGACTATATTTGATTTTCAGTTTTAGATGTCAATGGTTAATTTGTTTTAATAAAAAAAAAAAACTAAATGCCATAATAAAAATGTACAAACACATACTTTGAAGACCATAATTAAGGTAATTAAGAAAAAAAATACGTAATATGAAAATTGTTGTTTATTACACATCTGCAGACAGACTGATCATTCACTGTAACTTACAGCATTGACTAATAATCACTGTCCTTCATGTCAAATATACATTTCGAATAATAATTGTTCCTAGATTAACAAAACTGCAGCTCTCGTTGACTGAAATCCTATTGTAATTTAATCCTCTGATCATTCGGAGTTCGGACTTGTTGTTTTTTACTGTCTATGGTTGTTTGTTTCCAGCCGGTTTCGGCGCATGACATACGTCACTCACGACCACACATTAGCGATTGGCTATGGCAGATCGTGAGTGACTCTGGGCAGATCCAATAGATTTGAACTTTAATAGTGAACCCGCCTACAAGGAAGGAAACGTTTCTCAATTGAGGGAGGCCAGACTCTCTGTACAAATGAAATGTATGTATGAGAGTCTGGTAGAACCAGGCTAAGTAACACGAGCTGAATGAAGGGTTTTTCTTAGTGATGTCAGTAACAGGAGCTGAATGAAGGGTTTTTCTTAGTGATGTCAGTAACACGAGCTGAATGAAGGGTTTCTCTCAGTGATGTCAGTAACAGGAGCTGAATGAAGGGTTTCTCTCAGCGATGTCAGTAACAGGAGCTGAATGAAGGGTTTTTCTCAGTGATGTCAGTAACAGGAGCTGAATGAAGGGCTTCTCTCAGTGATGTCAGTAACAGGAGCTGAATGAAGGGCTTCTCTCAGTGACGTCAGTAACAGGAGCTGAATGAAGGGTTTCTCTCAGTGATGTCAGTAACAGGAGCTGAATGAAGGGCTTCTCTCAGTGATGTCGAGTAACAGGAGCTGAATGAAGGGTTTCTCTCAGCGATGTCAGTAACAGGAGCTGAATGAAGGGTTTCTCTCAGTGATGTCAGTAACAGGAGCTGAATGAAGGGTTTCTCTCAGTGATGTCAGTAACAGGAGCTGAATGAAGGGTTTCTCTCAGTGATGTCAGTAACAGGAGCTGAATGAAGGGCTTCTCTCAGTGATGTCAGTAACAGGAGCTGAATGAAGGGTTTCTCTCAGTGATGTCAGTAACAGGAGCTGAATGAAGGGCTTCTCTCAGCGATGTCAGTAACAGGAGCTGAATGAAGGGTTTTTTCTCAGTGATGTCAGTAACAGGAGCTGAATGAAGGGCTTCTCTCAGCGATGTCAGTAACAGGAGCTGAATGAAGGGTTTCTCTCAGTGATGTCAGTAACAGGAGCTGAATGAAGGGCTTCTCTCAGCGATGTCAGTAACAGGAGCTGAATGAAGGGTTTCTCTCAGTGATGTCAGTAACAGGAGCTGAATGAAGGGTTTCTCTCAGTGATGTCAGTAACAGGAGCTGAATGAAGGGCTTCTCTCAGCGATGTCAGTAACAGGAGCTGAATGAAGGGTTTTTCTCAGTGATGTCAGTAACAGGAGCTGAATGAAGGGTTTCTCTCAGTGATGTCAGTAACAGGAGCTGAATGAAGGGTTTCTCTCAGTGATGTCAGTAACAGGAGCTGAATGAAGGGCTTCTCTCAGTGATGTCAGTAACAGGAGCTGAATGAAGGGTTTCTCTCAGTGATGTCAGTAACAGGAGCTGAATGAAGGGTTTTTCTCAGCGATGTCAGTAAAGGAGCTGAATGAAGTTTTTCTTAGTGATGTCAGTAACAGGAGCTGAATGAAGGGTTTCTCTCAGTGATGTCAGTAACAGGAGCTGAATGAAGGGTTTCTCTCAGTGATGTCAGTAACAGGAGCTGAATGAAGGGTTTTTCTTAGTGATGTCAGTAACAGGAGCTGAATGAAGGGCTTCTCTCAGCGATGTCAGTAACAGGAGCTGAATGAAGGGCTTCTCTCAGTGATGTCAGTAACAGGAGCTGAATGAAGGGCTTCTCTCAGTGATGTCAGTAACAGGAGCTGAATGAAGGGTTTCTCTCAGTGATGTCAGTAACAGGAGTTGAATGAAGGGTTTCTCTCAGTGATGTCAGTAACAGGAGCTGAATGAAGGGTTTCTCTCAGTGATGTCAGTAACAGGAGCTGAATGAAGGGTTTTCTCAGTGATGTCAGTAACAGGAGCTGAATGAAGGGTTTTTCTCAGTGATGTCAGTAACAGGAGCTGAATGAAGGGTTTCTCTCAGTGATGTCAGTAACAGGAGCTGAATGAAGGGTTTTTCTCAGCGATGTCAGTAACAGGAGCTGAATGAAGGGGTTTTCTCAGTGATGTCAGTAACAGGAGCTGAATGAAGGGTTTTTCTCAGTGATGTCAGTAACAGGAGCTGAATGAAGGGTTTCTCTCAGTGATGTCAGTAACAGGAGCTGAATGAAGGGCTTCTCTCAGTGATGTCAGTAACAGGAGCTGAATGAAGGGTTTCTCTCAGTGATGTCAGTAACAGGAGTTGAATGAAGGGTTTCTCTCAGTGATGTCAGTAACAGGAGCTGAATGAAGGGTTTTTCTCAGCGATGTCAGTAACAGGAGCTGAATGAAGGGGTTTTTCTCAGTGATGTCAGTAACAGGAGCTGAATGAAGGGTTTTTCTCAGCGATGTCAGTAACAGGAGCTGAATGAAGGGTTTCTCTCAGTGATGTCAGTAACAGGAGCTGAATGAAGGGTTTTTCTTAGTGATGTCAGTAACAGGAGCTGAATGAAGGGTTTCTCTCAGTGATGTCAGTAACAGGAGCTGTTGTTGTATGCAATATCCTAAAATTTGTGTAAAAATGGGTGTTTGGAAACATAGTTAGTGTTCCTGGAATCAGTCTAGCTCTGACAGCGACTGTGAACGTGATCACCGCCGCCGCACTGTAAAACATCCAGGTGATGCTGGTTATGTTTCCCTTGAACCGTCTTGCCAAGAGTTTTGCAGTAATTAACCTCATTCTGTGGAGCTCCTGAGCATCTCTCAGGTCAATATCACAACGAGACACTGATAAATCTGGGGTGTGTGTGAGAGAGGAACCGGAGCGCTGAACTGGAAGCGTCTCTAATGAGCTGCGGCAGGACCGAGGCGTTTGACCCGTTTCAAACTCCAGTTAAATGTGGAATTCATATCTGATATTGTCTTACACTCCTTCTTTAATGTTTCTCAGCAGGGCGTCTTGCATTTTCAATGAACCTGCCTGCCATTTCCTCTGTTCTCGCTCGGTTGCTTTGAACCGATCAATTCTCCTGTGAAAAATGCATGTGTGGTTTTCAGATGTACGAGTATGAAGCGTCCCACTAATAAAGCCTCTCTCTCTCTCTCTCTCTCTCAGGAACAGAAGAGTACGCTGTGGAAGGTAAGCAGCTGATTAAATGTTCTGGTGTGTTAAAGTCTGATGTCCTGCAGGCGTTTCGGCCGCCGAGCCGACGCTTTGTCAGATTGGACTGCGGTTTTGGCGACTTCTGGGGGCTTTGATTCGCTGCTAAGAGAAACATGTTTCTCCAAGATTTCCTCCTCCTCATTTATTTCACTTTCTTTTCTTCTTATGAGTTGATTTTATTGGTAATGCTTTACATTAAGTTTTCATTCGTTAATGCATGTTAGTTCACTGATGTTAACAAATGAACTCTTGTTGTAAAGCGTTACAGTTTGACTTTTACTTTCCAATCAGTTGAAATGGACAGTTCCATGGTGTTGTTGGTTGGTTTCACGGCACAGATGTGAACACGATGTTGACGTTCGGGCTGTGAATTCGAGTTCTCAGTGTAATGTGATAAAACAGGTGTGCGAGTTCAAAGGTTAAACCGTCCCGAACGACGCTCGCCTCCGCCGAGGGCCAGATGTATTTACCCATAATTCCCCCGCAGGCAGGATTTGTCTGCGTAATGGATGGTGCTGGTGTGTGTTTGGGATCAGACGCAGGTATCTGGATGTTTTCCCTCCATCAGGACACTACTGATGGATTGCCCTTCTCTACCCAGCATGCCTCGAGAGGGACGTCACCATGGCAACCCCGAAGAGACGTGTGCTTGTGCTGGATGGAGATCGAGGCCTTTGTGACTGAAACGCAGTCGATTAAATGCATGTTTTCAGTGGTTTGCAGACAGTCTTTTATATACGTATGATTTGTGTCAGTTTGCAGGAGGGTTAGGGTTAGCTTAAACACGACACAGATTTCCATGTGAGGACGACTTCCGACGCTTTTATCCCTGGTGTTATCATAGTATTTAACTATTTTAGAAAAACACAATAAAACTATATAAATGATAGGAAATGTTTCAGACCGATCATAGTGCAAATGAACACAACTATAAAGAGCAACAATAAATGACCAGAAATTTTCCAGACTTTTTTCTGGACTGTCATGTTTTTAGTTTAGATTAAAAATGTAAAAAAAATGTGAATACATTAACTTTAAAAAAGTCTTTTAGAATTTGAGGGTGTTTGCGAAATAGGATAGCGCCCTATAACTACAACTGGTAAAACTGTATCTAGAGTTATTTACGGGATTTTGACGTGCCTGGGATGATAATACTGTACATGTTCATTATCAGTATATGCTCTATTACAGAGATGACAGAAGAGATGCATAATGTTGAGTTCAAACAGGCTTTCTTTCACTGGTGATCAAGACTAACTGTGAATGTAGAAACATGACTAAGACTTTTAACAACATCTCTCTAGATTTTCTTCAACAAAAATTTGTGGTAAATATTGCAGACTGTTTTTAGCGAGCCTTTCATACTTGGCTTTGTCAGGTGTTAAAAGAGTTGAAATCCCCCAATCAGAGCTTTCCTCTTAACATGACATCTTCTGCCTGGTGTTTAACTTAATCTTCTCAATCTGGCAACCGAGTGCATGTGTTCTCTCTCTGATGATCTTCAGTCCGTCTGTTTCTGCGTTTGACTGAATCTGCCATGATCTGTAATAAACACAAACATGATCTCCACTGTCTGAACAGATGCACGGATACAACCTGTGTGTGATGATACAACGCCATTTTTGCTGTTGATTTAATCGAAAAAAAAAAAAAACATCTGAACTATTATTATGATTTTCACAGTTTTAGAGAAAGTTGAGTTTTAGCAGTTTTCATAAATAATGTGCAGAGAGTGTGTTAGTGTAAATCAGGGCAGTAAAATAAAGCGTCTGTGAAGAGTTGACGCTCTCTTGATTTGTGCTTGTAGGCGAAAGTGCAATAATTCTGATAAGACACCAGTCACAATCAGTTTTTCCATGACGCAAAGCAACTTGAATCGATTCAATTGACTAAAACTAGGCTTAAATGTCAAGACTTGACTAAACAAACAGCAGAATAGTGTGTGACCAGCGCTGGACCTGCTGTTTCAGAGGCTCGAGCTGCTCGCTGTGTTTCTCCTTCTCTTCTGATTGAAGCCGGTGACATTTGCCGGGTTTGTGTGGGTCGGACAGAAAACTAGAGGAAAAACCTGATGAATGTTTTGATGCGGGAATGTCAGCGCTGGAGACATGCTGTGGATCTGACCTGAGAAACGTGAATCTCCTCCTGAACGAGAGACAGTCAGTCGCTTCGGGCCGCTGCATGAATATATATGCAAATATTAGTGCATGAGACGCTACAGACGAGGTATAGAACTAACATATTCACATGCTGAAACATGCCTATAATCAACATTACAGAACGAACGTTTGGTCTTTATTTGAAAGAGTGTCACGTTTACATGCGTGCCTTTGGCTGAGGCTTTTATCTAAAGTGATGAAACAATGCAAGTTCACCGCTCAGATTTCTGCTCTCGTTACGGTACAGTGTCTGAATACCCAATCATAGTTTTCAACCGTTCAGAGTAAATGTGCTCATTTGGATTTATATGCTTTTCCAATTCATTTTAAAATACAGAACTACAGAGAATTTGTAAAGCACTTTACTTTAAGCCATCATGTATAATACATTATAAAGCTATTAATACTGTACATTATAATGCATTATATGTTTTCATAAATAATTGTAACCAAAGTTTAAATGCATTAATAACATATGCAGATTCCTTGGTACATCTGAAATTGGATGTTTGTCATTGGATTAACCCAAACTCTTTCCAAAGTTGTGTTCAATGAATATTATAATGTATTATAACTGGTTATTCATGATTATTCGTGAGATCATGCAATGCATTGCAATATGTAATCCATTAAAATAATTGTATAATGCATTGTATTTATTTTTTTAAGTAATTTATTACAGAGAATTTATCTGTGCATTGTATAAAAATAATTGAAATGAAGTGCATGATGATAGTTGTAAAAGTTTCGGTTTCTGTTTCATTGTGGCTTGAACAGATGCTTCAAAATGGACTGAACTATGTAGAATTTCTGAAAAAGAAACGTAAATGAAAGTGACGTTTTCAGAAACAAGAAGAGATAGATAAGAATAACAAAGATATTTGGAGAAATGTCTCAGTGTTTTTGACCATACAGTGAAAGGCAATGGGGTCCAATGTTGTTTAGTTCCCAATATTCTACAAAATATCTTATTATGGATGTCATGATGACAGAACAATCATTTTTGAGTGACTATTTCATCTTCAGTAATCAAGCACGTCTTTCGCTTGTCCTGATTTTGTCAGACATGTGAACATGTCAGAAAACAGGAAGTAGTTAGTTAACCCACCAGTTCCCATCGGTTGAGGATTGATGGGTGGTTGAGGGTTCATTGGTTGAGGATTGGGGGATAGTTGAGTCATTAGATGAGGATTGATAGGCGGTTGAGGGTTTATTAGATGAGGATTGAGGAATGGTTGAAGATTCATTAGATGAGGATTGAGGAATGGTTGAAGATTCATTAGATGAGGATTGAGGAATGGTTGAAGATTCATTAGATGAGGATTGAGGAATGGTTGAAGATTCATTAGATGAGGATTGAGGAATGGTTGAAGATTCATTAGATTAGGATTGAGGAATGTTTGAAGATTCATTAGATGAGGATTGAGGAATGGTTGAGTCATTGGTTGAGGATTGATTAGATGAGGATTGAGGAATGGTTGAAGATTCATTAGATGAGGATTGAGGAATGGTTGAGTCATTAGTTGAGGATTGAGGAATGGATGAGTCATTGGTTGAGGATTGATTAGATGAGGATTGAGGAATGGTTGAGGATTGATTAGATGAGGATTGAGGAATGGTTGAGGATTGAGGAATGGTTGAAGATTCATTAGATTAGGATTGAGGAATATTTGAGGGTTCATTAGATGAGGATTGAGGGATGGTTGAGTCAAGGTTGAGGATTGAGGGATAGTTGAGGATTGATTAGATGAGGATTGAGGAATATTTGAGGGTTCATTGGTTGAGGATTGAGGGATGGTTGAGTCATTGGTTGAGGATTGATTAGATGAGGATTGAGGAATGGTTGAAGATTCATTAGATGAGGATTGAGGAATATTTGAGGGTTCATTGGTTGAGGATTGAGGGATGGTTGAGTCATTGGTTGAGGATTGAGGGATGGTTGAGTCATTGGTTGAGGATCCTCTTGGATGTGTAACTGACCAGCCTATATCTCGGCTCTATCTCGATGCCCTATTTTCTGGGGTTTTGTCTAATTAGCGGCTCTGACCAGGTCGTTAGATTGATGAGATGAGCTTCTCCTGACGGGATTAACCACACCCAGCGACTGACAGAGAAACGCTCCGGTAATGGATGATCCGGGAACGCCGTGACCCCGTTTCTCTCCCGCACATGTCTGGTGTGTTTCCTAACGGATCACCTGTGTCCAAACAGATCTGATCTGGAATGATTTTGTAATAATTGTGCGAGTTGAGAAAAGTTGTTTGTTCTGGTCACGACTGATTTGCTTGTTTGTTTGTCTGACTGTAGATCCAGACTGTCCTTATCTCTCTCATCCCAGCTAACCATCTTCCCTCTGGAACATGCGGGATTAAACTCCTGACAGTGGGAGACTCTGGGATATTTCTCCTCAAACACACACACACACACACACACTCACTCAGAGACTGTTTCTCCTCTCCCGGCCGTGAAATGGAAAGCTGATGTCCTCTGTAGATAGGAGATTAAAGTTGAGTTATCATAGATTTGAGTGGATCAACTAAACCAGATTATGGATTATTTCTGAAGATTCTCCTGAGCGGATGAGATTGTGTTTCTGTGGCTTTGTATTTCATGCTTCTGTGTTATTTACAGACGAAGCTCTTCATTGTGGTTCTTTAGAGAAATGAGAAGATAGTAGTGTATTAGTCCAGCTTTTGATCGGTTATTGTTGGATCCACTTATATAAAGGTTTTATTCATTAATGTGTTATGAATGTCATTTATACTTAAATACAAACTCACTCACTTACACTGACACACACACACACACACACACACA